CGCCCGCCGTGGGCGCCAGCAGGCGCCACTCCCACCGCACGAGGAGGGCCCGTCGCGCCTCACGCCGCCACTGCTCGACCACTTCGAACGGGGCGGTCTGACCGCGGGCCCTGGTCTCCGCCTTCCTCGCGTAGACGACCGCGAGGACCTCCGCCTCGAGGTCCCACGGCGGAGACCCGACCAAGAGGCAGACCGCCTCGTGCCCCACCGTACAGTACCCCCGTATGACCCGCTGTGCCATGTCCCTCTGCGGGCGGCGCAGCTGGGCCCTGTTCTGGGCCGACAGTGGCCGACAGTGCGTCGGCCCAGATGGGGGCACCGTAGAGGGCCATGGAGCGCACCACCCCCATATAGAGGCGGCGGCACCCCACATTTGGCCCTCCGACGTTAGGCAGGAGACTTCTGAGAGCGGCTGCCGTCCCGATGAGTTTTGGGGCGAGCAGTCGAAAATGCTCTCGGAAGTCCCACCGTCTATCGAGGACGAGTCCAAGATACTTCATCCTGGACCCGACCTCGATCGCGGCTCCGTCCACCATAATGGTGGCCCCCGCTGGAGGCCTTTTTCAAGGCCCGTAGAAGCACAGGGCCTCGGTCTTCTCCAGCGCCACCTTCAGGCCCAACCGGACTCGTGCTACCACCGTAAACATCGATATAGAGTGGATTATTTAAAATTTAGTACACACACTTACAACTACAAATAATAATAAAAAACAATAATAAAAACACTTTATTCATAATAACAAATACGCAAAATTCAAAATAATCTAAATTACGTACAATTGATCTCACACAGTTACATGCCTGCACTAGGACAATCCTGTATCGCAGGCGAGAGGAGCTCTAAATATAATTATTACAATAGCACATCTTATTTCTATAAACACAATTATTTATGAGTATGCAATAGAAAACAAATGTATAATGATTATTTTAATATACATACAAGCAAACATACAAAATATAACCTCATATCCTACATTCTCAGAAAAGGTAGGCAGAGGTGCATAACTAATGGTAATATAATATTATAATATATCTAATAAATATACATACGTAAATAATATAATTAAAATTCAGTTCGAAAAAAGCTATCACTTTTGCCGAGGAATTAACATGCATCAGCAGAAACATATACTAGTCCATAGGGTCATTCACTTGGTTCTTAATTTCACAATAATAATTGTGCTTATTCAGCAACAGGGCGATTAATAATAATCATACGTTTGATTTAAAGGTAGTGTAGTTGTTGTGCAATGAAAAGAATCGGAAGTGTCATCAATTCGGAAATGTGACCTAGACTAGAGTATGACGCATTATGCGCCCTCGTAGTCAATCGAATTGATGTACCTGAGGTCTGCTATCTTCCTAGCAGGGCACTCAGGGTCTCCCGTTTTATGATCACTGGGCTTATTAAAGTGAGAGCAAGAGGCACATTTAGAAGCTTTTACTTTTTTCGTGCACGAAGATGTTACATGGCCCATTTCTCCGCAGTGTCCACATGACGAGAGGTCTCTGCATGTTTTAGCGGCATGGCCATACTGTTGGCATTTGTAGCACCTGGTAACTAATGTATAATCTCTCACAGGGCAAGAAGTCCAATTTATGTATATTCTTTCTTGAGTTATGAGGGCTTTGCGGATCTTACCTGGAACCTGTATGATGAAATTGCAGGTCGCTGTATCTTTCTTCCCGGATTTATGGCTTATTTTGATATTGGTTAAAAAGGCTTCCAGTGACATCTCCGGAAAATTTTCAGCGCCATTTGCTCATATAGACACTTTAATACGTCAGTATCAGTCAAAGAAGTGGGCACTCCTATTACCGCTATTCTTGGTTAGCGCCTTGTTGGGCTCACCGGTAATAAGTCCAGTCGACGAAAGGTTAACTGCCTGTTTCACCTTCTCAACATCTTCCTTGGTCTCAGTGCTAATTATTACACCACCGTTTTGAATTTTCCTGACTCCACGTACATGTAGTTTCATTTGATCCGGGCGAATGATTTTCTGAACCAATGTTTTAGTTTCGTCACTATATTTTAATTTGTTGACAGGATAAATGGCGACAAAGCTTAGATTACTGGGTTTTATGTAATCATTTCACCCTTTTTTCACCATATCAGCAAAGGACACGTTTGTTGTTGCGGAAGAGGTCTTAATGGTTTGTTTTAATTCAATGATTTCTTCTGCTAGGTCTCGTTTTTCGTGAAGGTTGTCAATTATGCCGATTGCTTGGTTGGCCTTTTGCTTCAGAGACTGGTATAGAACTGCCATTTGAGAGACGCCAGATCCTATTTTGCGCCTCAGGTTACTGATTTTTAGTTTCTGCTCCGAATTCAGTTTGCCTTCCGTGGCAATAATGCAGACCTTATTTAGCTGCTTTTCGATAGACGACATCCATTTTTGAAGTTCTGATGTGGACACTACTTCAATATAGAAGTCGGATTGATGACTTTTTACTTGTGAAGCACAGGCACGGATATTGCTGGGGCTGTTATCCATTTTTAAATCAGTTTATGTTTCCATATTAGTACGTAAACTTTGTAGTAGGCAAAAATTTTAAAGGAGGTCACTATGTATACGTTAATTAAATTTTGTTATTTTTGCGCACTGCAAGGGCAGCCGAATCAAATGTAAGCAGCAGCTGTCTCAGTAACCTCAGTGGCCTCTGTGGGCTCCCTATTGGTCTCCTGCACATCAAGTACAGGACCACCAGTATCTATAATAAATTGTTTTATATTAATTGTGAATATCACTGATGAAAGGTTGGACGCTTTATAATTTAATCTATGGTACTTTTGTTTTGTCGTCTTTGTGTTCTGTCATATTGTAATTGTTTAAAGTAATATATATTTTCATTAAATTTATTCTACAAATTGGCCTATATTTCATTTAAAAGGTTATGGGTTATGGGCCCAGGATAAAACGTCGGTTAAAATTAGTTTTGCGTTTTGAACAATTTTAAAAAGAAAGAAAGTCGCGATTATAACTGTCATTGTCTGTTACCGGCTTGCGAGTGATCTTTCTTTTATTAGCCATTTCCGACTAAATATTGAACATAAATATGACTTGGTGTCAATTCATTGATGTCGATTGAGAAGATAACGGGTCGTGATAATTGGGCGAGTTGAGTTTTGCGATTAAACCCTACCTTTGTAGAATTGTATTTTGAAAAAACCAGTAACTACCGAACCCAACTCAACTGTTTAATTACAGGATATTAAAGCCAAGTCAAAAATAATATTATTAGTCGAGCCGATTTTATATGTACATATTCAAGAGGCTCACAATGCAAAACAGGTATGGGATAATCTGTCGAAAGGTTTGAGGATAGTGGCTTAACTCCAAAGTTGGCTTGCTATAGGAACTGATTAAAACCAATTTGGAGAGTAGTTCGTCCGTTGAAGATTATGTCAATAAAATAATGACAGCCGCGCACAAGTTAAGGAATATAAAATTCCATGTAGGCGATGAGTGGTTGGGCACATTGATGCTGGCAGGGTTGCCAGAAATGTACAAGCCCATGATTATGGGTTTAGAAAGTTCCGGTATGAAGACTAATGCTGACTTAGTGAAAAATAAATTACTCCAAGAAGTAAAGACATCAGACACTGCCGCACTTTATACAAACTAATCCCAAAACTAATAAGTTCAAAAAAAGGTCCAAGATGCTTTTGTTGTAAACTTGTAATAAGCACGGACATTTCAGTAAGGATTGTCTGTGTCGTGGGTGCGTTTACAAACATACAAGTTCACATACACATGACACCCAGACCCAAAACAACAATTTGTGGATCACACATAGTGTTGTTCCGTGCGGGAAGCCACCGCACCAACCGTGCAGTCATTTGGCTGAATTTGCTCCTATTCCAATGGAACTGGCATCTATATAAATAAATATTGGTGCTTGTGGATCATAAATGGCCAGTATTGGTTTTGAACATACATAATCTTTCATTTTCCGGAATGCATCCTCACACTGTTCTGTCCATTTCTGATCTTTTCTCAGCAATTTATGGAGTGGATCAAGAACTACTAAGACATTTGGAATATATTGTCCATAGAAGTTCATTTTCTCCAAAAATTGACGTATTTTTAATTTTTTATTGAAATTAAATTATCATTTAGAGGTGTAATTGTATTCTTCTGTAATGTAACATAACATAACATTACATAACATCACGCCTTTTTATCCCCGAAGGGGTAGGCAGAGGTGTACATTACGGCACTGAATGCCACTGTACAATGTAATGTAATGTTATGAGTCCCATGTAATAGGGGGTGATCCTATTGCCATATACCGGGCACAATGCCAGGCTCCGTGCTACTACTGAAATTTTTGAGAAAGTCCCAGTAATATTTTGCCCGACCCGGGAATCGAACCCGAGACCCCTTGCCCGGCAGTCGCACTTGCGACCACTCGGCCAACGAGGCAGTCTTCTGTAATGTATGACCTGACTTAACAGAATCATGTGCAAACTTAAAATTTGTTAATTTTAGTCTAAATCCTTCTACTCTAATACTATCTAGCAACTTTTTTATACGTGTGAATGTTCCTCAAATGTTTTAGAAAATATCAATATGTCATCGATGAAATTCACTGCAAATCCTGTCAGACCGCGTTTTCTCAGAATATTTCCCAAAATCCCGTTCCCGTTGGCATATGGCAAAATCGATCATATTCAGCCCATTTATACGTCGAGTAGATATGAATGTGAATACAAAATATATTTTTTTGTGTTATTGGTTTCTAAAGATTTGTCGTACTTGTAATATCAATTTTATATAAGTAGTTTTTCGAATTTAACAAATTTACAATAAAATATTTAACATAGCGATACGTATTGGAAAAGGACTATAACAACAAAATGAAATAAAAAAATATTTTGTTTTCATGTCGAAAACCAGAAATAAACTTTTCAAACCCGAATTTCAGTCACTTCGACGAATTTTTTTTCTTCTTTTTTTATCAATATATAATTTAAAATGTATTAAAAATACACAGGGAAATTCAAAATGGGATCTCAATTATTTTCGAAGTTAGATTGATTAATACGCGCCGCAATGGGCGTAATATCTGACGATTACATAGGTCGAGTAATTTGCGCGATATTGCATTAAAACTCGCAACTTTATTAATATTTTATGTCGTGTCAGCGTAGTTAAGCTCTTACAAGGATGTGGAAGAAACATTATTAATAAAATATACTAGTTTTCATCCGCCCGGTAAGTCCAATTTTTATAAATTATAGCCTGTTTTATGCTGATGTCTTAGGTAACAATCCTGCGAAGTTAAATCGAAATCCATTAGTAGTTTTTGCGTACAAGAGTAACAAACATCAAACATACACCCATACATTCTTACAAATAATGAAGTATATACTTTTTTGTTTTTTATAATATTTGTAATATAAATTTATAAATATGTATTATAAAAAACAAAAACATTTTTAGGGAGCAGTAGACAGTTTTATTATCTGCGAAAAATTACTAATAACGCCATCTGTTAGCAGTGTGAAGTATACTTAGTCTTCACACAGAGACAAAGTTAAGTACAAGAAAGAGACAGAAATATTATGCCAAGCGCATCACTTGGCACGTTTTCGTATGTTAGTTGCTTTAACCGCTCAACGACTTGTTTATGTAGTTTTTATTATAATGGCACCGTACGGTGATCGATGTTTTAACACATTTCGCTTGGTACTTTATAGAAAATATAAAAATTTAAGGAAAATATCTGAATGTTTAGCTCAAAAGTGGAGCTTTTCACGAAATATTTACGTACGTACTTCCTGGAAACAACTTTTACATGAAACACTTCCAGTAGCCAATGAAGACATTGTGCAATGCAGTCAAACATCTAGTGAACCTTCGCAAAACATTCAAGATGAGCCATTCATTCCCGAAGATAAGTTTAAGCACAATTCAACTCAAACCGACACAACCATAGAAAACCAAGAGATTGTGAAGCAGCTAAAAGATAAATTTAATGATGATAAGTTGAACAATACTTAGTATATCAAAAAAGAATTACTTAAATTGGACTTGTAGTCCCGGAGATATGGAACAAACATAAAAACATACATCGACACCCGCTAAGTACAAGTATGTATCTGCCTGATACACGAATTGGTTTTTATTGCATTTTTAGCTCCAACGTATCTGTATTTAAACAATAAAAAAATATAAAAAAAATTATAACAACCCAACATGCTTTTTTTTCAGACGTATAAGTATTTATATGAATTAGCTAATAAATAAACACAACGTAAAAATATGTACGTTCCAGTTAAATAGTTTGACGCGGGGGGAACGGGACGCGGGGTGCGGGCAACTGCCGCTCTCTGTTCTTCGGCGGTAACAGCGAGCGGCACGCGCGGGCGCTGCGTAATATTTTATTTCTATAATTATGTCGAGTGAACGGTATAAATTCTTAATATCGCTAAAGGAAGATGCAATTACAAGGCGACAGGTTGTGACCATATCACCATCAGACGGGATGGATTCACCACCTAGACAAGGTAAATACTTTTAACCCATTATTTCATTCATATCTTACTATATATTTTAAGAGCACCTTTAGATTGAATAACTAGGTGTATAGTAAATATTTAAATTTTAATAATATATTGAAAAACTGTCTCCCTCGTGATATTTCGGAATTTTATGCATTCGCAGTGCATAAGTGTGTAAGTGCGTAGTTACACATTTCTACGCTGGAGTCAATTTTAATTGAAAATTGTATCTAGTCACTTACATATTTGTTCTACGGAAAGCGCGTAAAATTAAGCAGGTTAACTAACTTATACATCGTTATACATTGGAATTAAACTAGAATATAAGTATTTATTTATACACTTACATAGTTATGCTTATATTAAAACAATGTTTTTTATCGTAAAAAACAGTTTTTAATTCGATTTTGATTATTTTCAGACACTCCAGTACACTTTTCAAAATATTTTACGGATGAAGACTTACAAAAAGTGACGGAAATTATTGAAAACAGTGACGAGGAAAAAAGTGCTCATGATAACGATTGTAAGACCACAGTATGTTCTATGGCACTGTCTTCAATGATTAGAAAAGAAAAAGACCCAGTGCTTTCACCGCCTGAAGTAAACTCTTATGACCCCATATTAGCACCGGCACCAATAATGCTTAAATCACCTATAATGAGCAATATCAGTTCAGGTATTGAAAATGATGTTTCTATTGAGTCACCAAATTTCTCGTCAGTTATAGCTCAAGAAATTGCCCAGTTGGAGTCTGTTATATCACCAGTTCCTACCACACCTCTTTCTTTGCCAGTAAATTCACCCATGCCGATAGAGACCCAGTTATCAGTCACTGAAAATACGGTGACTGACATTGTACCATCACCAAGGCACAGACACTATATGCAAGAAAACAAGATAAAGGTCGATTACGATTAGTCCATAAGGATAAATGGTTGGATGTTATGCGAAAGAAAAATAAAAATTTAGGAAATGCTTACAAAAGTAGGGATGGGAAGTCAAGAAATAAGAGAGAGATGGGGCCGAGTTGTGGAGAGAAATGTAAGTTAAAATGTTCACAAAAAATTACGGATATTGATAGAAACTTACTTTTTGTAGCGTTTTGGTCTATGGGAGATATAGTTCGCCATTGGGATTACATCAATAAGTACTGTGAAAAAATTACTAAACGTCGTTTTACTACTGAAACTGCTTCCAGAAGAGAATTTACTCTGCGATATTATTTACCTACAAAAACACATATGACCGATTCATTGGCTCCAAACACACAGACTTTGAAAATACAAGTTTGTAAAACCATGTTTTTAAACACCTTTGGGATCAAACAAGGTCTGGTATACTCAGCATTAAAGAAGCTTTCATTGGAAGGCACTGTTGCCCATGACAAAAGAGGCATCCATGGACACACCAAGAAAATCACTGAAGAAATGATTGCAAGTGTTTGTGATCATGTGAACAGTTTTTGCACCTGTGGAATCACACTATGTTCGTAAACGGATCTCTGACATTTGCTAAGATGTTTTTGTTGTATAAGGATTGGAATGATCCCAAAAACCAAAATAAAGCACAAACAGCAAGGCAATATCGTGATATTATCAATAGCCATATTAATTTGGGATTCCATATTCCCAAAAAAGATCAATGCGATGTTTGTCACGTATACAAAAACTTACTACGTCCTGTAAGTGAAGAGCAGTTTCAAATATATAAAAGACACACATGAGGAACAAAACTATTGCACGAGAGTTTAATGACGTCCTAACGGCGGTGTATGATTTTCAAAAAGTACATGGATTGCCCTATGGTGAAACAAGTATCCTTTATTACAAGCGAAAATTAACTGTATTTAATTTCACAGTATACGAAATGGGGAGTAGGGTTGCTAAGTGCTATGTTTGGGACGAAAGCACAGCAAAGCGAGGAGCTAACGAGGTGAGCAGCTGTTTGTATAATTATATTAAGGAGCATCATCAGAAGGGCATAAAAATATTCAACTTTTGGTCTGACAATTGCGGAGGACAAAACCGCAATCGAATCGTTTTTGCTGCCTATTTGCGAGCTGCTAAGGCCTTTCAGGTCACTCACAAATATTTTGAGAAAGGTCACACTCAAAATGAGGGTGACAGTGTACACAAAGCACCGCTAATTAGTTTGCGGCGCTACACATCGACACTACTGTCATTTACACAGTGTACATGTGTGGGTAATTTCATATTACTGTGTATAAAAATATTCGTCCACCACGTTCACATTGATATTTTCATTCTTGTGTCGGTATACGTATTTTTATAATTTAATACATAGGTAAGGTTAAAACTATTTACAATTATTGATATGACCCGACATTTTCACTGTCATTATCGTAGTGCTCGTGGTCGATTGGTTAATGAGCACGCTTTTATCGTCTTTCAAGGATCAATGATGTGGGTTCTATTCCAGCTAAAAGTTTATTTTATTTTACCTTGTTATTTTTCTTATTTTTTTTTGTTTTGTTTTTTGTCATAAAATATAAATATCAGGCTATAAAAGAGGCAAATGAGTTGGTAAATAAAACAATACTATTTTTTATTACAATTAATTTATTTATTATACAAATATGTTGTTTTATATTCAATATTTATATCTAATAATTAATTATATACCACATGTTAAGTTTAAAGTTCTTTAAATCATAATTAATAGATATGACAATAAACCTCATAGTCGAATCGGGAAATATCATGCGGTACTAGGCTTGCCAGACCGCCGGGAAATCCGGGATTGTCCCGGAATCTTGCCTCTTGTCCCGTGTCCAGGAATTAGCGCTCATTGTCCCGGATTTTGAAAAGTTATTATTTTTTAACAAAATAAACTAGCAACGAATGGAATGACATGGCTGCCGGTGAGCGAGTGCGGGAGGCGCGCGGGACGGGAGTGCGTGCAATAGTTTTACTTCACTCGCCCGCGCCCGCCGCCTCCTCTCTCTCGCCCGCGTCCGCTGTCGCTCGCCCGCGCCGCGGCCGCCGCCCCCTCTCTCTCGCCCGCGTCGGCGCGTCCGCTGTCACTCTTTCAGTCGTGTTTTGCTTTGATTGAATCAGACGCGTCACGCGTGCGAAACTGCGAACTGTGCGATACAATTACTCATCATGGAGTCGTATCCATCCACAAGTAAAAAAAGATTTACAGGATTTAATGATAAGTGGATCACCGATCCCGATTTTAAAGAGTGGATAGAGAAAAAAAATGAGTTTACTGCAATTTGTAAAGCATGTAACTCGGATATTGCAATTCAATATGAAGGTCGCCGCGCGCTGGCAGTAAGTATTTTTTTACTTATATCAAAATTGTAATCGTATTAAGTTTCAGTGTATGCAATAACAGAGCGCAACGTTTTCCAATAACGCGGTGTTACATAAAGTATTGAGAAAATCACGAATTACTGCAAGTGGTCTCGTCAGTGGTATCCAAAAGTTATGAGTATTAAAAAAACACGTTGTACTTATATACGATAACATCGCGTGCGTTTGTTTCGCATGTATACATCTAATTAATTTCAAATTTGTTATATGCATTGTTCTAGGCTCACGCTAATAGTATAAAACATAAAAAGATGGTGATGGCTAGGAAAACTTCCAAATGCTTGGATGCTTTTTTTATAAAAAAGCACGCCTCAGAAGAAATTTCTATAATAAATTCTGAAGTGGCTCTTATTTATCATAATGTGAAGCATGGTTTGAGTTACAACAGCTTGGATTGTTTGGCAAAAAATATTAGCAAATTCATTCCAGATAGTCAAATAGCAGCAAAATTGACATGTGGACGAACAAAAGCATCGGCAATAACACGCAATGTTTTAGGACCCTATTCACAAGAAAAAGTGATCTCTGAATTAAAAGAATGTTATTATTTTTCCGTAGCCTCATATGCATCAAATGTTGGTAATTTAAAAACATTTCCCTATGCCGTTCAATATTTTAATTGTAATAAAGGTATATGTAGAAAATTATTGGACTTTTACGAGGAAGCTGAAGAAACATCGCTCGATATATATAACTGCCTTAAAAAAATTACCACTGACTCTAATCTCAGCATGGATCAAATAAGTGCATACAGTGCAGACAATGCTTCTGTTAATTATGGTGCCCATAATTCTGTATTCCAGAAATTAAAAGAAGAAAATAATCATATTTTTAAAGCCAATTGTTATTGCCACGTTGTTAATAATTGCGTAAAATATGCATTAAAAGGCCTCGATGTTGACATAGAAAGCATCGTCATAAAAATTTATAATGAGTTCAGTTCATCAGCATTAAAAACAAAAAAATTGAAAGAATGTTGTGAATTTGCCCAAATAGAGTATAAAGAACTGCTAAGACATGTACCTACAAGATGGTTGTCACTTTTGCCAGCTATAGATCGCTTAATTCGGAGTTGGCCTGCTGTTAAACATTATTTTTTATCAAAAGGTCGTGATAACTGCCACAAGGTGCTATGGGATTTTATTTCAGAAGGTTGTAGTACTGATTTTATGAATAATGATGATGAAGAATGTAAAAAAGAAGGTAAAAATGACTGTTACCTTTTCTTCCTGAGCAATATCTTGCCTGAATTTACAAAAGTGATATTGCTATTAGAAAGTGAGAGCTTCACTATTTTGGACATTGATCATGCCATGCGAAGTCTTCACGACCAATTAAAAAGTAGGATGGCTGATAACTTTTTTGGGAGCAAAGTCAGGGACATTTTCAGAAAACTTGATGAAGAAGAAAGAGCTCTATTTAAAGGACAGGTGCATATTTTTCTGCAAAGAGCATTAAAATATATAGAAGAAAGATATGATTTTAGTACCGATGGAATCTACAAAAAGTTTGAACTTTTGTCCCTCAAACCACAGGAATTAAAATTGACTTGGGAAGTGCTTTCCGAATTGCCCATGATATTAAATATAGAAGACGCTATTAATATTGACTCCCTTTACTCAGAGTTTGCATGTCTGAAAACGGTATATAGGGAGCTTCCGAAAGACTTACCAAACGACGAAATATGGGCCTATTTCTTCAGAAATAACACGTCCACAAATTTCGATAATTTAAAAAAAATAGTTGGTTTCGTTCTTTCTATTCCAACAAGCAATGCCTTTTGCGAAAGAATATTTAGCCTACTGAATAGTTTATGGACTAAAGAGCGAAACCGGATGTCCATGGATTTAATCAAGTCCGAACTGCAGACTCGTATAAACTTTGACGTGTCTTGCTCAGAAATTCTAACAGTCTTACAAAGCTCTGACGGAGAAAAACTAATAAAAATGGCAAAATCCAGTGAAAAATATTTCAAAAAATGATTTGATCGCCGTTTTATTTAACATTATTATTTACGTTCTATCAGAAGAAGTTTTATTTTTATTAGAAGATACATAATTTGTTTGTACTGATTTCCTACCAACTACCAAAGCTTAATAACAAAACATTATGTACCAAAAAGCAAGGTACCGATTGTTTTTTAAGTTAGGAATTTATTGATATAAGATTTATTTAAGGTACATAGTATCTTATTATTATTGTTTTGTTTTCTTCAGTTTATTACTATTTAATTTGTAATTTAGTAATTGTCTACCAAAGTTTTAATTTACCAATTTAAGCTAATTACATACCTACAGCTAATAAAAGTATGTTTTTTGAAAAAATGGCATTTCATCTTTTAAATATAAATATGAATCCTTTGAAAATAAAAAAAATATATGATATTTTATATTATGGCCACGACCCGACATTTTTTTTTTTTTTTTTTTAGAACTGTCCCGGATTTGATAAGTTCCTATCTGGCAACCCTATGCGGTACAGCGGTAATACGATGGCAGCAACATTTTTTATTAAGTAATAAACAAATACAACATTCTTGTTTTGTAATTTAATAATACATTAAGTAATAAACAAGTAAAACATGTAAAAAATTACACTGTCAACATAATATTTCTTGAAATGGGCGACTTTTTGTCGTTTGAATCTTCCATTAATTATCTATTTTACGACGGTTGTTATAAGGTTCAATATTCAGTGGGCTGTATGATAGTAAAAAAAATGTGACGAATGCTATGGAACGATTTTAACATTCATGACCTTTAGAATCAGGGAAACTTTAAATTAATTAAAGATGGGCGTAAATATAATATGTCAATCAAGTTCGAAAGCAGTTATATAAATTTGTTAATGAAAAATTAAAGTGAAGTGAATAAACATGTTGAATAGAAAGAAATTATAACAATTTCTAACCACAAAACAATAACATCACTTCACCGTATGTTCTAGACAGCATTTTAATATTCTTAAAAAAATTAAACATTATTATAAGTTAATTTTAATAAAAGCAGAGTTTGACAGGATCAATAATTGATTCCGAAATCAATACAATCACTGATCCTACAAGGCAGAAGGTTGCAATTCGTATACCTTTCTCCATCTTTTCTCCACAATATTTTACGCCCATCCTTATCCGACTTGAAAGTCTTTTCGTCGCTCAATATGATTACACTGTTCGCCCAATCAAAATTAATAAAGTTCCTAGCAAATTCTTAGCGCTTTTGCTGGTGAACCACAGATAACAATATTTTCTTCTCTGACTTCCTGCACCTTAAACCAGAATGCAGGTGTCTCCGTACAGTTTGTATTAAAACATTCAGTGCTGTCGCTGTAGTGCGTGTTGGCAGGAACGGATCAGCCATGTGCCTGGCTACGATGTCGTAGTGCCGAGCCGATGAATTTGCCTTTGGTTTAGGCCCACGTCGACGATGTTCAACGTCACCGGTCTTCGCATATCTGTGCACCCATAACTGCACGGATCTCCTCTGTTGATACCAAACAAATAAGTATTTAAAATACCAGGAAATACTTTACAGGAATTAAAGTTACTTAAAAATAATAATAAATATAAGTAAACACAATGTTAGAATAATAATTTATAATCAAGTAGTGGCGTAAGGAATAAAAATCCCTAACTAGATATGTTTTAAAGAAACACTCCTAACAAAAACAGGTCAAGTTACAATACAATTAATAATAAATTATTAATATATCTTTATAATATTGAACTTCATAATAAGTTGCAATAATTATTTTATTCTAGTGCAAAAATTGATAGGTGTGTCGAGTTACAAAATGAAATAAATATTATTTAGAATATCAACGTAGTATCTTATTTACTCACCGATATCATTAAACGCCTTGCTATTTCAGTTATTGTTAGTTTTGTTTTGCTCATGCAAAACAATGATTTCAGCCTTTTTAAATGTTGATAGGTGTTGGAACATCTTGTAAAAATAAAAATAACTTTGCACACGAATATAAGTAGCGTAGCAATAAACTATGAAATCATAAATTGACAACTAAGAACGCAATTATTTTGTAAGTCGGGTGATTTGAAAAACATGTTTAAAATAGTCGGTAGTTACATACTTCATAAGCGGGTAAAATAAAATGACTCGAGATTTCTATGGTCGCCACAAACATTGCAAATATAGTCACTATAGTCAGGTATCGAACCATTAAGAAATCACAGTTAATTACTTTTTTACTGTTTTTTATCTTATTTAAGTTGGTTGAAATGCATGAAGCAAATGAGATTATTCTAAATAATAAATAACTGGAACTAAAATATAAATAAAAGATATTATAGGTATAAATAAATCTAAAGTATTTACTATTAAAATTAACATAAGATTAAGAACAATAAGATAGGAAAAAAAAGAAAAGATGTAATTGTTTCTCATTTCAAATTTCAAATATTTGATAAATTAATACTAAAACAACATGTGAATGCTGGAATCGATCCGGCGGCACTTTACTTGACAATTGGAGGCGATAACCGTTGCGCCAAACGCGCTGTAGTTGAGATCATCGAAATATTGTATATCATTCAGTAACATAAAATTACAATGAGAAAGCACTATATTTATATGGGTATTGTATAGCTCGATCGTTCATTATTTTTGATTTCGATTTATTCAAAGTTTGTTATGAGTATGAGTTGTATGAGTGTTGTGTACACAAAGCACCGCTAATTAGTTCGAGGCGCTACACATCGACATTACTATCATTTACACAGTAAACATGTGTGGGTAATTTCATATTAATAGATATGTATAGAAACATTCGTTCTATCACACACATCTTGTTATTACATATCATTTTTGTGTCGGTATAAGTAATATTTTAGTAAATAAGTTTAAATAAAAACGAGGGTAAAGATAAAAATACTCATAACAAACTTTGAATAAATCGAAATCAAAAATAATGAACGATCGAGCAATACAATACTTATATAAATATAGTGCATTCTCATTGTATTTTTATGTTACTGAATGATATACAATATTTCGATGTTCTCATCTACAGCGCGCTTGGCGCAATGGTTATCGCCTCCAGTGGTCAAGTAAAGTGCCACCGGATCGATTCCAGCATTCACATGTTGTTTTAGTATTAATTAATCAAATATTTGAAATGTGAAATTACAAACAATTAAATCTTTTTTTTTTCTATCCTATTTTTCTAAATCTTATGTTAATTTTAATAGTAAATACTTTAGATTTATTTATACCTATAATATCCTTTATTTATATTTTAGTTCTAGTTATTTATTATTTAGAATAATCTCATTTGCTTCATGCATTTCAACGAACTTAAATAAGATAAAAACAATAAAACGTAATTAACTATGCTTTCTTAATGGTTCGATACCTGAGTATATTTGCAATGTTTGTGGCGACCATAGAAATCTCGAATCATTTTATTTTACCCGCTTATGAAGTAACTACCGACTATCATGTTTTTCAAATCACCCGACTTACAAAATAATTGCGTTCTTAGTTGTCAATTTATGAGGATTTCATAGTTTATTGCTACGCTACTTTCCTATATTCGTGTGCAAAATTATTTTTACTTTCACAAAATGTTCCAACACCTATCAACATTTAAAAAGGCGGAAATCATTGTTTTGCATGAGCAAAACATGTCAATAACTGAAATTGCAAGACGTTTAATGATATCGGTGAGTAAATAAGATACTACGTTGATATTCTAAATAATATTTATTCCATTTTGTAACTCGACACACCTATCAATTTTTGCACTAGAATAAAATAATTATTGCAACTTATTATGAAGTTCAATATTATAATTAATAATTTATTATTAATTGTATTGTAACTTGACTTGTTTTTGTTAGGAGTATTTCTTTAAAACATACCTGGTTAGGGATTTTTATTCCTTACCCCACTACTTGATTATAAATTATTATTCTAACATTGTGTTTACGATTTAAGTTACTTATAGATATTCATTATATTTATTATTATTTTTAAGTAACTTTAATTCCTGTTAAGTATTTCCTGGTATTTTAACTGACTAACTAACTAAATACTTATTTGTTTGGTATCAACAGAGGAGATCCGTGCAGTTATGGGTGCACAGATATGCGGAGACCGGTGACGTTGAACACCGTCGACGTGGGCCTAAACCAAAGGCAAATTCATCGGCTCGGCACTACGACATCGTAGCCAGGCACAAGGCTGATCCGTTCCTGCCAACACGCACTACAGCGACAGCACTGAATGTCTCAATACAGACTGTACGGAGACACCTGCATTCTGCTGGTTTAAAGTGCAGGAAGCCAGCGAAGAAAATTTTGTTATCTGTGGTGCACCAGCAAAAGCGATTACAATTTGCTAGGGACTTCATTAATTTTGATTGGGCGAACAGTGTGGTCATATTTAGTGACGAAAAGACTTTCAAGTCGGATAAGGATGGGCGTAAAATATTGTGGAGAAAAGATGGAGAAAGGTATACGAATTGCAACCTTCTGCCTTGTAGGACCAGTGGCCGTATTACTGTCGGGTATTGGGGTTGGATGTCTTCGATGGGTCCCGGTGAGCTCGTGGAAATATCTGGTCGCAGTAATAGTCATGATTACTTGAATATTTTACAAAACGTAATGTTGCCTACGGTGCGAGTTGTGTATCCTCACGACCACATTTATTTCGTGCAAGATAACAGCGCAGTGCATCGTGCACATATCGTGCAAAACTGGTTACGAAATCAAGTAAACATGACTGTTATTGATTGGCCAGCAAAAAGCCCCGATTTAAACCCTATAGAAAATCTGTGGGGTCATATGGTGCTAAACTGGGACTCATCGGAAGTCAAATCTAAAGCCAGTTTAGACGAACTTGTCATGTCAACCTGGGAGTCATTGCGCGGTAGTAACATATGCGCGAATATGGTTGAAAGCATGAGCAGAAGGTTGCAAGAGGTGATATGCCGAGAGGGTTTACCAACACATTATTAAACTGAA